TATGTATGTACTGTACATATGCTTGCTTGAGTAGTACTATACGGTAGCTGTATGTGTTTGCGTGTGTAGTTTGTAGTGCAATATTGCCCGCAGAGCCTACAATTCCTCTTTCATTTCATTTAGGAGATTTTGACAGCTCTTGTCCCGTCATTTTCTCTCAGTGACTGTGAGTGATCAGACTGCAGGTTGGGGACAGGCAGACCTTAACACACAGAGGCGCTGAGTATGAGTGTGGTCAGTAGGCCTGCATGTACGAACTCCTGCTGAGTATGTCGTCGACATACTCATGGGTCTCTTTTGCTTTTTCTCTCTTTCTCCCTCTCCTTCACCTGAACCCTGTTGACACCACCGATCCCCTCAGTGGAGGTTCACTGCTCGGTAACACAAAGTGTATTGTGCATGTGACCCACTAAGAACTACTAAAAGGAGCCATCGGTGAAGCCAGCACAAAGCCACGTGCTGTGTTGGCAGTTGAGTGTGGAGAGGGCAAGAATGTGGCCCCCAGACTCAGCTTCTGGTTATTCAGTGGAAGGGGGGGATATGAGGCATGGTTTTGGGCATTAATAATATTTCGAGACTGAAAAATAACCTGTGATCAGAGAAAAGTTTGTTTTTAAGCATTCCTAGCAACTACTATGTCTACTTTCATTTAATTTGATTTAATTTGTAATGGTGAACGTGCACAGCATCCAACTGCATCGCGTTCTGGCTGTGCTCCGGCTCAGTCGCAGCTCTTTGGCAGTTTTAATGTCAACAGGAAAAGTTTCAAAAGTGGAGCATGTTTACTTCAGCAGCCATTTTTATAATATAGTTTAGCATTGTTTCGCTGACATTTGGCATTCTCTATTATTTTGTTAACTCCCGGTAGCGCCTGTTACCAAAACCATGACTACTGGGGGCGGGCTGGACAAGCAGGCTTAAAAAAACAGAAGTGGTTTTAGACCAGTGCCCAAACCTAAGACAAGCCCAAGTCAGAAGATTTACAAAATCAAGCCAAGTCCGAGACAAGAGGAAAAACATCTCAAGTGACGGGCCTGGCAGCATAAGGTTTTTTTTTTTCCCTCTTCTCCTTTTTTTCTCCTCTGCATCTCACAGTTGCTCCCCAGCCTTAGGGAGAGACCAAACCATAGCAAACATGCAACACTTGTTGTACATGGTGACTAGTAAAAACATGCTGCTTCCACCCAAGTTCCCTCCCATTTGAAATGTATCGGATGAGTCGACCTCTCCCCTCCGTGGCCTTGTCACTTCCTCTTTCCAGTGGTGTCCCCCTCCAGAGGGAAGCAGTAGACGGGTCACAAATTTGGCAGGTTGAGCTGTCAGCACAGGTTTCATGGCTTAAGTGGGGTACGTGAGGGATTGGGGTGGGACGCACAGAGATGGCAGGACTCGGTGTGGGGTCACAGCAGATCTGATTTATTACTATTATCACTGTGAACTCTATGTTCTTTAACTCCATCACTCCTTCAGCTTTCTCCCTTTCTGTCTTTGTGTGCAAGTAGTTGTTCTCTGGACCATCAAGCCTTCACATACAGCTCACCTGCCATTCATGTCAGTATGCAGATATCATAAGCCCCTTTTCCACTGTGCGGTACCAGCTCGACTCAACTCACCTTTTTTTGGTTTTACATTGTGGAAAAGTTGTACCTGCTACCAGCTACTTTTTTTTGTTTTACCTCTGTCAAGGTTCCAAGTGAGTGATACTACAATGTGACGTGAAAACACGGCAGACTACTGATTGGTCAGAGAGAATCGTCACTATTCACATCATTCATTCAAATTTGCTTCTGAGAAGTTTTGAGGTGAGAAATCAACTGTGTAGATTTCGAATATTGACAGTTTGTCAAGCAGTGATGGCAGAATAAAAATGTGTTTGAAAGTTTTCAGAGTTGAGGAGCTCCGCAAGTGGCAGTGGGGGAGCTCGCGAGGCCAGCCAGCCACTTGTTCACAGAGCCCTTTGGGCCAATACTGGGACAGTATACTGTTTCAGCTCCCTTAGAAGCTGAAGTTGTGAGTGAAGTTCCAGTTACAGCCAAAAACAAATTATCATTATAAACACAAAACATGTGCATTTGATTGACAACAAGCACAAACTGAAGCAGTGCACATTATTTCTCATTATACATGAATAGTATCCATTCTGACATTGGTTAGAATTAAGAATTTTGCTAATGAATTTAGCTGAACATGTATTTTGGCCACTCAGTAGCTCCCCCTATACTCCCTCCCCATTCCATCCCACGATTGGTCATCATCCAATGTTAGTAGTGGTAGTAGTAGTAGTCAAAAAACTGGTAGCACTAGTACTAGTAGTATTCATATTATTTTCAGGCTTGGTTTGTTTGTTTGTTTGTTTGTTTGTTTGTTTGTTTGTTTACATAACTTCAATTTCATACACATACACCGACACAAACAACTAAATTGCCCATGGCCAAACACACACACACTGATAAAATTCTTTGTGATGTAATGTTTGTTTTGTTAGATCTATCTCTGTTAATGGTCTGTTAATGAATTAATTTAAAAAGAACATCTTCAAAAAAAAAACATGCTAATATTCAAGACACTGCCAGGGTTCTTTTCATTGGGCACATACCAGCTGAATATCAACATTACCCTTGTAGTTTCATGCCACTGTAGCTCTGTGGACAGCACCAATGTGTATTTACATTTTGCATTTTTTTATTTCACTGCAAGGTTCACTGGTTTTGGGTGGGGTTGTGTCAGAAAATGGGTCGGAATAGATCTAACTTGATTTTTTTATCAACTCCCCACAGACCACTGATGCTTTATTAGAGCCATCAGTTTCTTAGTTTAAGTCAAAACAAGAGGAGAGACAGTGTCTCTTTTTCTCTCTCAGAACAAATGATACTAACCTGCAAAAACAGGACAAGAATCCATGTCTTTGTCCTCCTATGAAATGCCTGCAGCTCTTCCCCTCTGCCTCCTTTCTCCCTGTCTCCCTCCTCTCTTTTCTTCGTGGTTATCTATTATTTCTTCTTTATCTTACCTTTATCTTTGATGATCTGAAACATCTCTGTCAGCATTGTGTGTTTTTGTGTGTTTATATTTCAGTGTGCCCTGACCCCTGTGAATGAACATCTGCCTGGTCGTGCTAGCGAGGGACAAACAGAGGGGGTGATTTCTTAACAGGCCTCAAATAAATCGCTTTACAAAGGGGAATGGGGAGGACACTGAGGTCTGCCAGTCATCAGATTCTTTTTCCAGTTAACCTGGGATTTGAAAAGATAGGTGAAACTCCTTGAACAAACGCTGAGGACACCAAAGAATTGAAAACTACTCAGTCTTTCCCTGGGTGGCGATGGGACGGGCTGTTTACTCAGGCTTTGGACTGACTCACAAATCAAAGAGTGTGTCAGAATGGAGAGATTAGGGAGCCAGAATAGGTTTGGGATACTACCTGTAACCTTGTGTCTTTGTTGTCACCCACCTGGATGAACTGGTAACATTGTGTAACACGCGCACACACAAACAGACACACATACAACAGAGGAACGTTCTAATACCCTGATAAAATGCAGCTGTTTATCTTCTGCTTCAGAACTGAAGATGCCCAGCAAAGGATGTTTGAAGCACTAATGAGTGTAGCATTGTTCATAGTGGGAGATTCCCCTTCCACTGAAGCATTCGGCTGCTCTCAGTGTGGCCCGTCCCAGCAGCTGCTGTCATTTCAGGACACGACACGGGCCTTAAAGCACACCATACACTGTCAGCACACTCATGCAAGGAGCTAAGGAGAGAGATAGAGCGATGGAAATACGCAACAACGATGACAGAGTTTCAAAGAGAAAGGGGAAGTTGCAGCTTCTCTGCAAGAGCTACGTGGTTTGTCATTCATCAACTGTAATGAATATTATCAGATGCCATCAGACAGGTTTGGATAGAATTACAACACAAAGCACATAGTCAAGTCAGGTTCTACTGAATAAAATTTCGTGGTGTAGTTGACTTACATTTGTTTATCAGGAAGCACGTAACTGATGTGCTCAGCCAGGAGCTCAGGTTTCAAAGACAAGGCTGGATAATGGAAGACGTTTAAAAAGCTATCTCAGACAATGCAGGATCTTAAGTCCTGGATGTCTTGCTCATCATTCATCTGATCCCATTTCCTGACTTCTGAAGATTGAGGGATCTAATTCAAACCTCTCTTCTTTTCAGCTGCTTTGTACTCTCACTGTATTCACTCTGGGGGAAAAAAGGAAATATGTGTTTTGACAACTTCACATTTCACTGGCTTTCATGCTACAGCTTCCCCGCCTCCCCTGCACCATCACGCCTTCACTTCTCTCCCACTCTTTGCGTTCCTTCAAGGTGAATTGAACCTTGTCTTACTGTTAAATGAAGCTCTGCAGGAACTCAGGAGAGAGGGGAGGGGAGGGGCATTAGCATTCAGAAGTGAAGGTAGCTCCCTGACCCGCCGTGGTGAAAGGCCCATAGGCTTTGCCGCATCACTCGCATAAGATGATCTCTTTGGGGAAAGCAGGAGATTACAACTGATAGGAAGGAGATTTAGCATAAACTCAATTGGCTCCTTTGTGGAATAATCCCCTATTCTCATCTAAATCATTGTGATGAGTGATAAGGCCTCAAGTGCACGTAGAGTAATGTATTAAACTTCTGTTCTCACGTTACACTAAACTAATATTGTGAGATTTAGTTTCATGTGATGAGACACACTTTTGCAGTATTGTGAATTTATATAAACTTTTTGTACAGCCGGGTCCTGGAAAGTCACATGCACTTAAAGGAAAGGATGACACATCAAAAATTTCTTTGCACAAAAATCTGAATGTGTCAGAGCTTATTTAATCTGAATGTCAGTAACAGGAATTTCCGATTTGTTATCAGCATTGTATCAAAATTGTGACAACTTACTGTTCAAAGAACGACAATGCTTCAATGTGTGATCTTTGAAATGTCGTCACCTGAGATCATTAAGCTTCATCACTCTGACTGTCCTTGTATATTATTCCGTCTAGGAACGGGATCCTATCAATGGGATATGCTCAGCCTCAGGAGGTGATCTCAGGTAAGATTAATAATTTGTTTGTTTTTATTCATGTGGGCAACTGCTTGTCCATTTGCCTTATTTCTGTGTTTCAACTCGCTGGATCTGAAGCCAAATAAGCCTGAATGATCATATTCTGAATGAGTCACGTACTCTGTATGAACAGACACAAGATATGTCAGCTGGCCCTTGGCTGGGTGTGTGTGTCTTAAGAAAATGTGCATTGTGTATCCTGAAACATTACCCAGCTCTGTAATAGAGATACAGATGATGCATTCCAGGAAAGAATCAATTAGGTGTTTTGGAAATGCCTCCAGAAGACAGTATAGATTTTCTTTGTTAATACCCCTGCTACCATCTCTGTTAACAATAGATCATGGCACGGCTGAGCTTGTAGTTTTGTTTTGATTGAAACCAGTCTCGCTGGCTTGTCTGTCTTGCGCAGGAGCCTGAATAGCTTTGTTCTGCCTGCTTACAGTCTTCTTCTGTCATGGTTGTTTCTGAAAGAAAAAAACTTTATGAGGGAGTAGTGGAAATGTTTGCTCATTACACAACAAGTGATCTTACTTTAGAAATGAAACTTAATGTAGCTGGGATTAGTCTACCTACAGTTGACAGTGATGTTGACATTTGTTTCACAATTGCATGTTTGACTAATGTCATAGTGGTCTGATTTACCCAGTTCATGGCTGGTGTTGTGCTCCATTGAAATGCACTTGTTCTCAGACTTGCTGCAGGTGTGTAAATCCCTGATAATGGGAAATAGAAGAAGCTTTCAGTGAGGTAAAGGTCAGCAGAGAATCTATTATTGACCTTGTTACTGTCATTTTCAGTATCACAATGATATGATACCACTACTGTGTCTTTCTGTGCTATTGAAACCTCACAAGCATAGATTCCTGTAAATGTTAGCTTTAGGTGGTTTCTCTGCTTCTATCATTTTGCACATAATGACTAAATTGCTTTTTAAATTGCTAATCAAATTTCCTTTTGCTGTGAAAAGTTACAATAGAGTGTTCTCACATGGTGTCAAATACATGTTTAATCAAATGTAAGGTTCATGTGAATGTAAAGTATGTGCTGTATTGGTCAGAAAAAAATGAGAAGACCCTGATTATATGATAACGCCCTCCTTTTGCAACACTTGCTTTTGACTTCCTGAAGATGAGGCTCTGAATAAAAAAAAATGCACAGATGTACCACATTTGATATATTTCCAATGCATAATCACTTTTTTTTTTTAAATGCATAAATAAACATAGCTTAGTCCTTAAAAATAATCTAAAGAAAACTGTAAACATGACAAACTACAGCCTAATTGTATTTCCACCTAAGAGAATAAGCATGAAACATGGCAAATCAGTAACAAACCATTATCATCTCGTGTGAAAGCAGCAGGTGGAGATGCCTTCACAAGTTACAAGTGCTGCTGTCCTCCTCTACACCGACTAAAGATGCAGTGATAGTCAGAGCGTGTGAGATGCATGCATAGCGACAAATTAAAGTCCGAAACACACCAACGTCACAACGCGCCCGCGGGTTATGAGGAAGCAATGTGAAAGAGAAAAGGACAGTTAGAGTGTCAAAAAAAGAGACTGTTGGATGTTTAATGACACGACTCCAGAGAAAGAAGAAAATGTATTTTTTATAAATCTACTGTAAATGCTTAAACAGTTCGCATTGGCATGTGACCTGTCATTTGATCCAATTTTACATGTGTACATGTATGCATGTATGTGTATGTGTACCTGTATATCATATCCACCTTCAACATGTACATAATGAGAATAGTTTACTCTTGCATCCTTTGCACTCTGATTACTGCACTATTTGTCAATATTTCTATATTGTTTTGTTCATAATGTGTATATTAGTGTTGTCTACTCTGTAGTTTGTGTCGGATTATATTATTATTTTATTATTGTATAAGTAAGCACATCGTGAGCAATGTACAATCCTGAGTCAAATTCCTCATATGTGTACACATACCTGGCAATAAAACTGATTCTGATGATAATAAATACATTGATGGCACTAAGATCAACGTCATCAAAGATCAACTCACCTTTCATAAATGTGCACATTAATTGGGAAAGACTTGATTGTCATCACTCCTTTCACACTGTACCTCACTGTACGCTTTCTCAATGCTAATTGGCCACAGTCTGCGAGAAAAAAAAATGCATACAGTGAAGTCCAGTGTGGTGGAGCATTCCTTGGTCAAGTGACTCGACGCTTTTGACATGTGGTTGGCTGTTCAGCGCTTGTGTTCACAACGTTTGCCTGTGAGGATTAGTGCCGTGCAGCTGCTCAGCTCCTCACAGCTGACCAAAACTGAGACTATCGGGACAGAGGTGGAGCTCGGTGGAACTCTTTGCACCAGTCATTCAACCACTCTCACACACCTATTCATTCACAAACACTGCGGTGACTTATTGTCATTGGGAGGTGCAACCAAGCTGTTATTGTGCAGATTAATTGTAAAAATCAGTAAGAGATTTGTCCCAATTTTTGAATAGTCACTAAATTACAATAAATTTATGTGACAATCTACTTGTCTTAAAAAATATAATATTTTCCTTTGTTTTAATGTGCAGCTGCAAGTACCTCATCACTATCAGGCATCATTAAAATGTGTATGGCACATTCAGTAGGACTACTGTGAGGTGGGCTAGATGCTCAGGTTGCAGGTAAGGTAGGTTGGTAGGTAAGTTTATTGTCACAATATAACAAGTTATATAGTGAAATTGAGTTTTGTAACTCCCTTCTGCTACATAGCAGACAATACATTAATACAGAATCAATTATGAAAAATGGTAACAGAAATAGCTGCACATTTATAACAATCAGTTTAGTGTTTCCCTTCAAATTTCTTTCAGCATCAGTGATGCATGTCCATTGTGTATGAGCTGTATTCATGCACTTTGGAATAATTATAATTTCAGTGTTTTCCCTAAGTTTGTAGAAGACTTAAAAGGTACAAGGTAGATTTATTTTAACAGCTTGTAAAGTGAAATTGAGTTTGTCTCTCCCTTCTCCTACGTAGCAGACAATATACAGTAATACAGAAGCAATTATAAAACAGAAATAAACTGTATTCAGTGGAGCAGGGCTGAGGATGAATTATAATTTTAGGAGTCTGATAGCTTGGGGGGGGAAAGCTGCTCTGCTGTCTGGTGGTGTGACAGCAGAAACTTCTATATCTCTTCCCAGAAGGCAGCAGGGTGAACAGGCGGTGGTGGTATGTCCGCAAACTTCACAACGGGGATGCAGTTGGACGTGTATGTATTATGTAATGTATTGTGCTCACTGCTGCAGAGTAAATATAGACTGTTTACAGTCTGAATGCCTCCACAACATCTCGCTACCATCCTTTATCAGCAGACAGACCATGGGTTACCAGCTACATACTTGACTACTCTTGTTCTTTGCGATCTTCAAAAAGTGGTAGAATAGTTGCGCTGGTTTTCACAATTATTTAAATTCAGGTATAGAAGATTTATCTAAATAGAATGAAACCTCATGCTGACTTCTTCAGTATGAGCTTCCTTATTTATTGTTTTCACTCGATTACCGTAGGTATGATCAATGAGATCCTGTCTTCTGGGTTAGGCCCTTGTTTTTTTTCATGTTCATGTTGTAGGGCCAAACAGAGGAAACATCTGCGTTACTGCTGTTCTAACTGCTCAAGATCTACACACACACACACACACACACACACACACACACACACACACACACACACACACAGGCAGGCCTAGTGGTTGGGCCTGCCAGAGGAAAAGTGTTACTACACAAAGCACACATGCATTGATACTTATGCACACACACACACACACACACACACACACACACACACACACACACACACACACACACACACACACAGATGCTGCCTGTCTTCCTCTCATCCTCATCCTGTCACAACCACTGTGCAGTTTGTCCTCCACCCCACTCTCTCTGCCACCAGGACCTGACCTGACAGCTGCTCTGGCAGCCAGATCTATCAGTCCCATTTTCTGTCTGTCCTTATATTCGTCTGTCTGTTCTCTTTCTGTTTCTCTGCCTCCAAGCTACCATTTCACAGACTGGGTAAACAATTTTGACTTCCCCCAAACATGTGAAAGTGCACCAAATATGATATTATGATGTAGTAACACACATCAGGCACGTGTCTGTCTGTTATCTGCCACATTGAAGTCCTTACAACTGTTGTTGAATGTTATTGAGTATTCGACTTTGGTGCAAAACTATCATATCGGCATGTTCATTTCAATGAAAATAGTTGCTTACATTTTTCTGGGCAAAAAAACAAGCACACTCTGGTACAGTAAGAATATAGTAGTTGGCAAGATAGCAAGATATTTTTCAAAAACAAAATCAGTCTTAAATAGTCTGTAGATAATGTGCTAAAAGAAATATACAATGCAGTGCTTCAACATAATTATTATTTTTTTGGATTCATGGTTTAAAGGCGCTATATGTAGGCTAGTTTTTTAATGAAATCACTTATCAATAAATCACTTTTTTACTGCATGTGAAATGTATTGTGATATTGTGCTTTAGTGGGCTTACGTGACCCACATAATATACAATAATGCAACGTAACTGCGCAGGACAACAACACAGGGGAAGACCCATTCACTGCAGTAACATTACTTACTGCGGTCTAATTGTTATAAAGTGTGGTAACAGTCTCATTTATAATATTCAGTCTAGCTCACTGACATCTCTAATACACATCTAATACATTTAGCTGTGCTGACATTGCTGAGCCTCCAAGATAAGATAAAGATAAATAATGTTAGTTACTGAAAAGCTGATAAAAATATTACTGTAACGTTGCAGTTGGAGTTTACCTGAGTTTCCAGCACTTTGTGTGAAGCTGTCTCCTGGTGTGTTGACCTCTTTGTGTCCTTTGTTTTTATTTTTTCTGTGCATAGTGTATATTCTGTAGGTCACTGATAGATGTGTTCAACAAAACCCTTTATCCTGCCTTAGAGATGTCTGTAAAATTATTT